TTTTTTTTTTTTTTTTTTTTTTTTTTTTTTTTTGCTAGAAGTAAAACATTTTGTTTGATGATAGGTGCTATTAGCAAATCTCAGCCTCTGCTACTCAATGTCTTGTTTCGTCATATACATTTTTGGAAAACTGTCTGTCTCAGAGCTGAATTATTGACATAGTTTTACCAATCATTGTTCTAATTGTTAGTGATCATTCTGCAGTGGTCTGTGTAAAAACCTCCAATATGCCAATCAGTAACGTTGAGTCCTCGTTTATTTTGCACATCTACAGCAGGAGGAATGTGGTCCAATCTTGTCTACAATGGAAAACACAATGACAGGGTTTTATAGACCTCTTTTTATGTTAATTTAACATTTGAAATGATTTCTAATAGGAATCATTTAAGGCATATTCTTTGTACAAGTGTTCCAGAACTTTTAGGAAGTAAAGATGTACAGTTATAGGAATATTCCTGTAAATAATTAAGGGCACACGAAGTTATATCCTGCAATGTGACTTAATGCAAAGTGTTTAAAAGAGCTTAAACATCAGCAAAGCTTAAAGCTTTGATGCTTGACAAGAACAAAATTCACATAGCTTCCTTGTGTCACTTTCTGAGAGGCTCACAGGGCATTATGCATTTTCCCCAGCATATCTTCAAGTCTCTTGAAGAATACATGTGAATGTGTTAACAGTGTCTCCTTCCTCGTGTTTATCTTCACTTTATTTTGTAGGTTTGACATATGCAAACAGTTTGTATAAGGAAAATATGTATCAAAACACCAAATAGCCTTTAATGCATTGTTACACACATATTAGTCTAACATTGCGTGTGCTGTTTTCATGTGACTAAAACATACTAAATCTTCCCTTGTTTTGAAGGATAACAGAATATGTGATGAAAAACAACTGGTCAAGGCTATCTTCTCATTAAAACAAAGACTGATATTAAGTTGAGGATAAATCAAAAGTAAATAAATTCAATGTAAATCAATTTTTGTTTGTTAAAATGGGGCATTTTTCTGTTTAAGTGTGCAATAAAGTTTTTTTCTTTAGGTGTTTTTGCTTTTTCTGTGCGTGACTAAAAATCATGTTAATAAAACCAGGCCTTGTAAATTTGCCTTGTAAATCAAAAAAGGGATTTCATAATTGCCAGAAACCCATTTTTTAGGATCTATCACCAATCTCAAAAAATAAATAGTGTAACAGCTGTGTTTACTGTTAAAAGTAAATTAGCATCTGGCACGGTGGAAAAAAAGGAAAAATATTTGATTAAGCAAGCTTGGGACCATGCAAGCACCCAGCAAAGCAGTGATGCTGTAAAATGGTAACAGAAGACTGATCAGCAGTAACTGTATGTGGGAAACTGTAAAAAATTAACTTCAAACATACTAACAAAGCTGATCATTAAAAGCAGTTTCACCGCAGTCAATATCCGTTTAGACTGACAGATGTAATCTTTTTTTTTATTAGACTGGGATCCAAACAAAAGGGACAGTAACATACGTAGTATGAGAACCTCTGTACTCCTGTCATGTGCAAAACAAACCTGCAAGCTATTCTGGCAGGGAAACGATGTGCAGCTATTAGCAGTTCATTGAGGTAAGTTTTTTAGTAGCCATTACGCAAGGCAAATCCCCCCATCTTAAAAGGTTTATACCCAGGCCTCCAAGACAAGAAAACAGCTCTCGGTTTATATGAGGTCATAAAGGACTGTAATGATACTGGGGAAATTGGTTTCTGTGGAGGGGCGATGGTTGGGGGAAAAAAGGGAGGGGGAAATGACAGTAAGGGGGTAGAAATGGGAAAAAAATGGTAAAGAAAGTGACTGGAAAAATGCTCGCAAAAGAATAAAAAATGTGACAAATAAGAAGAAATAAGTAATAAATCAGATGACAATAAGTGGAAAAAGTGACCGTGTTCATGTGGACGTGTACAAGTTTACACAGGCTGACAGCACATTGTAAAACTAAGCCTGAGTTCAGCTGTCCCTCATTAGAATGAAGCCTGCAGTGCGAACTGATAGACTCACACAAGTAGTGCAAACTCAATCTGTTCTTTATTAGAAAAACAGCTGGGGGTGGATGACAGCTTGACTGGACACTCTCACACTGTAAACTCTCTGTGACCTTCATTAAACAATTGCATGCAGCGGTTCACTAACAGTTTAAATGGATAACCTAATCACAGCCATGTGAGTCTGACAGAGGGTTTCACAGACTGGGAGGATCATTTTAACAAGCACCTCAATCACCAAGACTGGATCTAAAAGCAGCATAATGAGACAAGTTTAAAACCAAAAAGGATAATGTTAGAACAAAGGACTTATATTATTAATTACATGCTTATTTATCCACTCACAATGACAGAGTCAAATAATTCAAAAAATCTGGACATAGTAGTCTTCTAAACACTTGATATCTTTAACTAGTAAACGTACTTCTTTGGAAAAATAAAAAAAGTCACACAAAAGGTGAAACTCAAAGACTTCCCCACTCCAGCAACACGAGTTTCGTCCATTCTCTGATCAATGCCTTACTGCTAACCTACCCGTGTGTGTGTGTGTGCATGGATGTGCGTGCACACCCGTGACTTAAAATACCTTTAACAGTCTCGTCCACTACTTCCACCACTCGATCAATCTGCTGGACCTGAAATGCAGACAGACACAAGGGAAAGGGCTTATTGACGCTGACATAAGAAGCTCACACAGTCAAACACAGAATATTGACGACCTACAAACATACTGACCCCAGTGTCTACAACAGGAGCATGTAAATATACAGAAAGGCAGCATGCAATAAGCAGAAAGACAAACAAGTGCAAAACGATACAAACACAACAAGCTTTTACCAGTTAGGATTAAGTAATATGGATTTCCTAAATGTCACAAAGCACGTATGTACATAAGTGAAAACACCATTTTTGGTGTGTATTGAGCAATGTATTGAGATTGTTAAAGGGTCTTAAAAGGAAAGTTGAGATTTTCTGAAGCAGATTTCTTTAGAGTGGCTACACAGCAGTCAGTATCTTACAACCCCAATTTCATGTTTCAAGTTCAAAATAAGTGAATATTTACATAAAAACAATAAAGTACATTCATTTGCGCATTAAATATCTTGTCTTTGCAGTGTATTCAACAATTAAATATAGGCTGAAACGAATTTGCAAATCATGGTATTCTATTTATATTCATGTTTTACACATTAGAAAAAAAAAGTTAAATGCCCTTGCAGATTTTACTCTTTATTTCTATCTAATGAGCCTAATTGAAGCGTGCACTGAACTATTAAAACAGCTACAACATTTTTTTCACCTACTAGGGAAGCAAGTTATTGATTAATGAATTAATGTAAAGCTGATTAATCTTATCAATTAACAATTAATTGATAAGGATTTCCTGAAAACCTTGAGTTTTCTCTTGTACCAAGAGGGTCTTTCCATAACATGAAGGGGAGTTTATTTTAATATGTTGAATTTCTTAAATAAAAAAGGAGAATATCATTATATTTTGACGATTTATTTTGCCAGTTGTGTTAAATACTGACTGAATAAACAAAAACTTGTGGATTTCTCACACATTATTCTAAAATATAACAAAATAGAAATCTATTATGAAAATAAACGAACAGAGGATAGTGGGTGTTTTTTCCATGGGCCAGTGTTTCCTGCTCGCAACACGACCACATCAAATCGGACGGTCATTTAAAAGGTGGTCTATATTATTTATCATAACTCTGGGTTATAAATGATCTATCAACACAATCTAAAAACTGATTTAAAGTATGAAGTCTCTACTTTTGACACAAATTGAAACAGAGACTCAGATAGGGTGTATTTTTTTCAGTTAGAGCGATTTAAATTGGTCATGTGACGCGCCAACGGACGTCATCAGTTAATCAAATGAAACAAATTTTAATCTAATCAACCATTATTCGACAATTAATCATAGGTCAATTAATTGTTTGCATCCCTATCACCTACCTACCGTTCCACAGTTATTGAGAAAAGAACAGAAAGAAGCAGACAGACACAGGCAGAGAACTAAAGAGAAGGAAAAAGTAATTTTCATATTTTCCTTGGGATAATTTTCTCTTTTCATTCCTCTCAGCATTCCTCCAAGATCTAATTCTCTTAGTTTTTCTATTCATAGAGGTTTGTGCTCTGGCTCTTACCATTGGCTTCTTGGTGCCTCCAGGTCCATTACCCAACAAACCTCTTTTTATTTTATTTTTTTTTCAAACACTCCTCACATGAATGCACACTGTGCTTCTCAGGCAGCAGTCGCATGCATGTTACACACTGAAGTAAAACCTATTTCCTTGTAATAGCCAAGCAATCTGGATCCATTCAGAGCAGCAGCGGGTGTCCCTTCTTACAGTAAAGGTTTGGTAATGGCTACATTTTGCAAACTAATTCAGATCTCCCTTTTCAACTCTGTTTTGTATTCATAGAAGTCAGAAGTAAAACAAAGTGTGCTGCAAACAAATCAGCTCCAGCAGATAAATGCTAGAAAAAACTCCAACAGTAAAAAATAAATAAAGGAGAATGGTATTTTAGGTATAATATCTGGATTGCCTCTCATAACTATTTTCTAAAAGATTATAAGCCAATATTATTGACCAGTTGGATGACCTGCTACAAGTACACATGAGCATTTAGAAAAAAAACTGTCTGTTGCCTCAGCAAGAAGCCTTTAAAATAAGAAATAGCTGAACACAATGACTGAATTTATAATAGATGATAGAATAACAGTAGTTCAGAGCTGGAAAAAAGCAATGAGCAGTTGTGCACCCTCCTCACAACAACTTCCCTCTTAATGAACCAGAACAATCTTTGACTTAGAAAATAGCATTTGACACAGCAGGGGGTGTCTTTAAAGTATTACTAATGCCAAGGTACAAACTACGAGCTAAATAAATAAACTATTTTTATTGTTGCAGCTGTGGTCTGATTAGGCAACAGAATATGTGACAGGGATGCCAGCACGCTCAATAGTCTCCTGTGTAAGGCCAAAAAATAAAAACACTGCCGGACTAAATTTGGATATGTCCAAGTCAGTGGGGAAGACTGATTTTATTTGCTGGTTTAGAGTGTAATGATCCTTTTTATTACATGAATCACTGTGGCATTTCTGTTTCAATAAATTATACATCCTTTTTTGTTTTTCATTGGAATACACGTTTAATTCACAGTTTGCTCCATTAAAGTGGGTATTATGTACTTTCCAGGCACATAGTTAAATTCTATACTACAATCAACAGTAGCCATGTTTTCATCAAATTGTAATGCAAATTTGAACCAAACTTTCAAAATGTTGCAAAAAATATATATAATAATAAAAAGATGTGAATTAGGAGTGTTTCCATCTACTGGTTTGGAGTGAATCAGCCAGGCTACGCAAAGCGTAATTTCATCAGACGTTGACGAATGACTGTATAAACAGGAAGTAGAGATCGCAAACTAGCCGGGACCACACATTCCAAGACAATGGAGAAAAGTTTTCGGGAATGTGTTACTATCAAGCAACTTATAAATGTTCTGTAATATCAACTAGCATTAGTGATGTTAAATGTCTGGAGACGTAGAGAAAGAATTGCAATTCTTATTGGAATATCCAGGAAGACACCGGCGGTGGGAACTGCTGATCAATCGTGAGGTAAACGTTCGCTACGTCATTAGAAATTATTCTTCAAATGTGTTTCCATCTCCCTTTTTGCCCATGAAATATTTTTTGATAAATCTAAAAGTCACCTCAAGTGAGCATAAAAAATATTTTTGCAAAATTTAGAAAAAAATTTTGTTCGCATTTTGTTTCCATCAACCTTTTCTAATGCAATATTTCAAAATGCATGTAAAAAAAAACTGATGGAAACACAGCTAATGTTAGCTTCTTTACCACAAACCAATAACTATGCTACCTTTAATTTTTATGAAAATGCTGTATATCAAAAATAAAGTTGACTTTGCATCATAGCCTAGCTAAAAGCCTTGAAATTAGCCTCTGTCTCTTTAAGAACTTCCTACTATTTCTGACACTTCCACTTCAGCATGTCATTACAACAATGCTTCAGGGGAGGGGTGCTCTGTGTGACATGAGCTCGGCTGCAGACAGAGCTCCAGGGAGGAGCTTTGCAGAAGTAGGTGGTGCTTTGTACCAGCAAGCATTTAGGCAGCCCCACGTGTCTACCACAGGAGATTCAAGGATATTTTCAAACATGCATGAATGGTACGTTTTTGATGAGGGAATGACATTATAACATAACACGATATAAAGCTAAAAAATGGTTTTGCATAATACCACCCCCTTTAAAAACAATTTATCATATAATTTTGAGCAATTGGGCTTAGACTTGAAAATAAAAGAGCTTTTTTCAACAAAATCATACAGACAATTTCTTGAGGGCACTGATGTACAAAATCGACTTTGCTTGCCTATTGTGATCCTCTGATTACTTGGCCAGTACTGTGTGTATGTGTATGTGTGTATGCATGAGTGTGTGATGAGTGTCAGATACAGGATGTGACAAGTCTGGTTCAGAGAAACGTAACACTGCAGGCTTGCGTGACTGCCTGTGTACCTTAAACAAAGTACACTGTCATTCACTGCATGCCAGCTTCAGAGAAGAAAAACAACCACGAGTGCACAAAAAGCTGACGCACAAAGGTCAATTAAAGAGAATGGATTCAAAAGGAAGAGCCTCTTTTTAAAACTACACCCCTTATCTAGCCGTTAGTGCAATCACTCTACACAAATTCTAATCTTGTTATTTGCATGTCATTTGAATAACCCACCAACTGCCACTGTCATTATGTAGTTGATTGTAACTATTATAAAAACACAAGCAGAGTGTTTTCATTCTCATACAGTTCCATGTTTGTTTCTTACAACTTGAGCCTGTTTGTGCATGCATCTAAGTGTGTGTGTGTGTGTACAGCCTTGTTTTATGATAAAAAAATCAGGAGTCTATTATTCTCATGGGATCCAGCTGTCCTGTAGGACCGAACATGCAGGACACTATTATTCAGGGCTTAGACTCTTAATCTTAAAGATGTAAAGGTTTGGATTAGCATAGAATAGCGAGGGCATGTTTTTATGTTATTTTATTTTTTGTTTTGTCAGATCCCCACAAAGATATACACATATAAAAAATTGTTGGTACCTCTCGTTTAATGAAAGAAAAACCCACAATGGTCACAGAAATAACTAGAATCTGACAAAAGTAATAATAAATACAAATTTTCTGAAAAATGAACAAATGAAAGTTGCTTTTCAACCATGCTTCAACAGAATTTACAAAAACTCTAATAAAACAGGCCTAGTCAGAAATGGCGGTACCCTTGAGAATAATGTGACCAAAGGTCATGATGAAACAAGGTGTGTTCACTAATTATCATCACAGGTGTCTCCAATCTTGAAATCAGTCAGTGGGCCTGTATATAGGGTTACAGATACTCACTGTGCTGTTTGGTGACATGGTATGTACCACACTCAACATGGACCAGATAATGCAATGTATGGTGATCAGAAATGTTATGATATAATGATCCTGCTGGAGGTGGTGAGGCGTGCACTGGAAGTGCTAAAGTTAGTTGCAAATAACCATAAGATTGTACATAAATACTCATGCAATTTATTTGCATGAAGCACTATGATTTTTTTGCTAATGGATTTTTTTTTCTAAAATGGCAGAAATCTATTTTGGTCTCAGCCCCAATCAGAATAGCCATTAAATTAAAAAAAATCAATCAATCAATAAATCAATAAAAAATCTATTTCTTCAAACTGGAGCCATCCACAGAATGCAAAATATTAAATATTCATAGCCTTTTCACAGAACCCCACTTTAAATTTTAACTATTATTCTGCTTTAAAGATTTACAACATTATGCTCCTGACTTATAGGGACAGGAGCAGCAGTAGTTTCTTATTTAGAATATTATTTTTTCTTAATTTTCACAATCACTTAACTGAGTATACATTTGAATTCTCAAAACATACTCACCTTATCTTACTGTTTACTCCTTAAATACTTTATATTAGGCACATTAAAGAGGCCTAATCAAATATAAAACATATACTGTCTGAAAACTTACACAGTACCCAGATTTTTATGTAAATAGGTACCCAGAAATGAAGTTCACATACAAAACACATATAGAAGACATACCCCAATAATGCTGAGAGTTTTGAGGTAGTCCATCCTTGGCTGAGCTTGAGGAACACAACCTGCTACAACCACCTTCTTCTGCTGTTCCTGGGCTTTCCTGCACAAAAAACGCAAATGAAAAAAAAATATACAAATAATAAACATTATTGGTCTTAATGTCTTTCTGCTTATTGGCTTTAGATAAAATAAAAAATAAAGAATTGCTTTTAAGGAAATCCTTAGCTTAGTATAATGTCAAAATTCCAAAATGTTCAAAGAGCAATTTTCAGTAAGAATTGTGCTTTTCTGAAACTTTAAGCCAAATGACTTAAGGTTAAGTATGGATGAACATGCATGAATGTTCATACTTTAAACTAAAACTAAAAAATACTCCAATTGGTTAAAAAAATGGAGATTTAACTCCAAAATAAAAAGATATTGCAGTCTTCATCAATTGTGTGTTATTGATAAAGCGACAAGCTAAAAGAGAAATATGGCTTTACTGTATAATTGATATTTGAAACAGACCTTTAAGAGGAGCACCAAACACTAGAAAGTGAGACCAATAAATTAAAAAATAAAAATACAAATCATCTGAAAAGTCAGGTCATATTTTCAAAGACATTTTAAAATTATAAAATAAAAATTCAAAACTAGACATGGGTTTTTACGATGTAAAAACAAGTGTGCATTGCCATGTAGCATGTCACTGCAGCATGGCTTTGCCTGCAGCACTGGACTTGCAGATTGAACTTTGACCAAGTTCAAATGTGTTTTCTAAACCAGCTTGTGCCTGTCATGTCAGCATGTGTTTGTAATTAAGGTAATTGAGTGACAATATGAAGTTTGAAGAGATTTTTTGTCAAAGTAGCATTAGCTGGGTTTTGAAACCTGATCTCCCACATGAAAGCCCGTGACATAGACCATTAAGACTGTTGGAGCTGTGGCAGGGTGTGGTGCCAGGGGTTGGTCTGTATGTGTGCAGAAAGAGGCCACATTGCCAATACAATTATTGACACTAAATTGCATAATATTACAACAATAGAGCAATATGAAGATAAAGATATCATAAAACATAACAATACAATCATATTAGTATTGTAAACACTGAACTATTGAGATTAAATATAAAAAACGGTGGTGCAGTACCAAGATGAGTACAGCTGGGGGCAGTATTGGACCATTACAAGGCCCCATTGACTCCCATTTTATGAATTGGGAATAAAGTTGAAACATTAATATTTCAAAAACTACAAGTTGTACAGGTACCAAAAGGCATAGCAATCATTTGAAATTACAATGGCAGCTATAGGACAATGTAGGCAGGAGTATTGGACTTTCAGAATGAACTTTGACCAAGTTCAAATGTGTTTTCTATACCAGCTTGTTCCTGTCACGTCAGCAGGTGTGTGTAATTAAGGTAATTGTGTGACAATATGAAGTTTGAAGAGATTTTTGTTAAAGTTGCAGTAGCTAGATTTGAACCCTGATCTCCCGCATGAAAGCCCACAGTGCTCATCATGAGACTATAGGAGATGTGGCAGAGGACAATCCCAGGGATTGGATTGTATGTATACAGAAAAAGTTTACCTTGCCAATGCAATTATTGACACTTAAGTGCGATATATTACAGCAATAGGACAACATAAAGACAGTATTACAGTAAAACATCAAAATACAATCATATTAATATTGTAATCACTGAACTACTGAGTTTAAATATTATGAAACTATGGTGCAGTACCATATTGTGTAGATGCAGCAGGGGGCAATATTGGACCAATACAAGGCTCCATTGACTGCCATTATAATTTATTAAACATTAATATTTCAAAAACTATAAGTTTTACAGGCACCAAAAGGCATTGCCATCATTTGGCACAGGGGCTTTACAGATATAAATTACAATGGCAGCTCTAGGACAAAGTATGCAGGAGGAGAAGCATGGCAAAGTTGAGATGACTTGGATGGGAAATGAATCACAACAATAGTGTGCATTGCATTGGCAATGCACACTGATAATATTTGCAAAAAATAAACCAATAAAGTTTATCTATTTGAACATTAAATATCTTGTCTTTGTAGTGTGTTCAATTGATTATAGGCTGAAAATGATTTGCAAATTATTATATTCTGTTTTTAATTAGGTTTTACACAAATTCCCAATTCCCAAATTCATTGGAATTGGGGCTGTAAATTCAGTCCACATGCTGCCTAGGCATTTACATGAAACACAAAGATGAAAAGTTTTTGAGTGAATCTTCAAACTGTTTTTGATCAGCTAGTGTTGATGAACATAAAAACTCAGTTCCTGACAGTTAAACCCAAATATTCATTTTCACTCAGACAGATAATGTGAATGAGAAATAGACATAAACATAAAGCTAAACCACTGTAACCATTATGTGACTTTTTAAAATCCAATTGTTTGTGAAAACTGCAGAGGAAATCCATTAAAGACAGTTAACTGTGATTTATCATGACTTCAACACAATCTTTAATTAGCAGAGCGTTTATCATACTACATGTCAAATACTCCCAGCTTTCATCATACATACATACATGGCCAAAGGCAATTACTGATATCCATTGGCAATATTGCCAATAAAATATTGGACATGATGAAATGACATAGATGTTATTTGTTCTCATTCAAATGATCTGAACAAAGAGGACTGATGTGAACAGTAAAATAGAGTAGTAAACCATAAGGAAAATATGTGTGCACATGATCTGTGCAAGTCTCCATGTCACCTCCAGTTAGTAGCAGTGAGATGTGAGACACGAGGTCTGTCTGACAAAAGATTTTCGAGGAGCTGCCCAGACTCTGCCATAAATCTTTAATAATGAAGCCTTCTGACAGCTGGAGTAGGAGAGGGAGGGAAGGATGGAAAGCGGGTAGGCACGCAAGTGAGGGAGGAACTGTGGGAGGAGGACAGAGAAGCAGCAATGAAGCTGGATGAAAACTGTCAGTTGTGTTTTAATTCACACTGTTTGTATTCTTCAACAAAACAAAGAGAGGTAGTGATGGAGGAGGAGGAGGAGGAGGGTGGTGGTGTGAAACGCAAAGGCAGACAACTCAATTCAAAGCCAGCTTACACTGTCACATGAATAGAATAACGAGGTATAGATGAAAGTGAAAGTTGGTAAGAGATGAAGAAAAAAAATGTCAAGCCAGGAATAAAAGTGTTTGTTTATTCTATTTATGGTTATTTCAGTTTCGGCTTAATTTTACAATTTGTGTTTTCACACTGGAGAAAAAGCTATTAAGATTTTGACACTACATGTGGTGCGTCTTAAGGTTCTTCTAGAAATGTCTGAGAGCAGTTCACATCAATTAAAAGATATATTTGGACTACTTTTTATAGTTGGAACCTTCACCCTTCCTATCTTGGGACCATTCTTTATTCAAAACAGGAGTGTGTGGAGTTCCAAGCTTTAGGTTGCATGAGATGCTCTGTTATTCAAGCTAGTTTCACAATCAGATTAATGTAACTCCCCTCCCACTGGAGAGTCTTTGCTTGCCTGGTTCACAAGAGAGCTGTTTTGTTAGATGCATAAAGATGTGATTTAAAGGGAAATTAGATGGTGTCAAGCTGATTGCTCCATATTAAAATTTTGGGCCAGTTTACATGTAGAGGTTTTCAAATGAAATCAGAACAATTTTGTTGCATTTTTGCTGGTTATCTGCATTACAGCAGCCATCAAATTCTGACAATAAAACTTATAAAACAGGTCTTGGGCTACATTCATGCTGGAGGCAAATGGGACCCATAACAGATTTTTCATGACAGTCTGAAGGTGACGAATCCGTTTTATTTTTTATCCGATCCAGGCCTTTTTTAATAATAAATTGGATATGTATCTGATGTTTTTCAAAGCGACTGCAGTCTGAACGATCAGGTCACATTTCGTTCGGCTTTTACATGAGGTGAACAGAGCAATCCAATAATGATACTAACCTTGAGTCATGCAATTTAAATCTTCCAACTCCACACGTCTTCAGCTACCAAATAGAAGTCCAGTTGCTTCATATTTTCCTTGTAATTTTACATGTCCTGGATAACTGAGAACCCACAGAAACATGATAGTAATGTCTAGCATCAGTCACCGACCATATTGATGCTAAAGTTACTGAATCAATACTAAGGTTAGTTTAACTTTCAGAACTTTGCTCACATTTCGAAAATAAAATGCTGCACCAGAGCAGCCGGCAAGAGGCAGGTTCAACAACACTGAACTAAACAAGCATGTCAGATAATTATTTATTCAGCTCTGATTACACAACTTCAGGACTGATACACATGTTCTAACATATAGCAACTATATTTCATTTTATAAACAGCATGCTGAATGCTCAGTGCTGTGGAAAGGTCAGACTGGAGTCTGATGGAGGTAGCATTTAAAATACAGTATGTGAATGTTCATGCAAAATAATCATTGAGCATTAACACCTGCAGTGTGAATGGAGCCTTAAAGTGGAAGTTTTCTGAAAGTCCTGGGATCATTTTACAGGACTCCAATTTACCTGAAAGCAGACATGTTTGCACATGTGCAACACAGTTGCCAATCAGCTGGGAAGCAAAATATATTCAACTATAAATGAGAAGTCTAGCTGTGACTGAGAATCGACACCAGCATAAGCAATTGCAGTTTTATTGGTAAATACTGGGATGTTTTGTTCACTGCACTTATTTTTATTTTTATTTTTGCCATTACAACATACTGCAACTTGCCATGTGCTTTCAGCAACTATCATCCAAATCAGCTGTGGGTATTTAGAACAGTGGAGGTCCAACTGTTTGCCAAACACATCACAGGCATTTTGTTTGTGTCTACCAATTTATTGTAGCCCACTAAGATAGGGATACTGTGCACACTGCTACTTCTATGATAAATTTTGTTTTGTATACGTAAAGACAAAACAAATCATAAAAAATGAGAAAATGTTGAATACAGTGTCTTATTCCATACAAAAGGAGACACAGCACTTTCATTAATATTAAGTCTAATTGAAAAAGACATGCAAATGTATTGTTTAAAAAAAACACTTTAAGCGGCTTTCCACGTGTCTAAAGACTAATGAACAATTCTAATCTAGGCTTAAATTATTGCTAC